TGGGGGGGGGGGGGGGGGGGGGGGGGGAAGAGAGAGAGGAAGAATTTATTTGTTATATAATTACTTGATGTTGGACCCAAAAATCAAACTTCATCTTGTTCTTTGATAAGCGGGATTCCCTTCTTCGTCCCCTCCCCTGCGAGATTTATTGCTGGAATTTTCGTCTGTGAAAGAGTCATGGATCGAAAATCATAAGAAAAAATTCATAAACTGAAAATTAGGGGAAAAAACTTACCCATTATAGAATTGTGCTTCTGCAAATACCAATTAATTTATACTTGAGAGGTATTGAAAGAGAGATAGAAAAAGGGCATAGAAGAAATTCAGATAACAATACGGAGACGTTATAAAATTGACTTTTACAAGTGAATCAAATCATGATCATAATATATCAAATTCATGTCAAAAAATAGAGAAAAGGAATATATGAAATTCGGATCACAATACCTATACGTCTTAAAATTGCTTCATTGAAAAATCAAAAGATAGACAGCAGATGAATCTCCAGTAAGAACAATAAAGAAACAACCCACACAATCAAGTTATAGAAAATAATATAGCAAGTGATGAGTTAATTAAATCATCAATCACTAACATTTACTCCCGGTTACTGCTTGCTCATCCACTTTTATAAGATTAGTGACTGCTTACCCACTTTTAAAAAAAAATACCCATCCATCATTCATTTCATCTCCATCCATCCAACTCAGCAAATGTGTCTATGTGGCAGACATATTTCTTACGTGGCGACTAACACCGTTAAAATTTGACAAGTTGGATTTACCCATTTCATTAATAACACTTTCTCACTAATTATTTAAAACTCCAAAACAAATTGAACGACACAACTCTTTCTTCCCCACAAAAAAAGCTCCTCCCCAATCTTCTGTGCAATTGCATAATCAAAACCCATTCCAAGAAATTGCATCCATGAAGATTGTTATCTTTTGAGCATTAATGAAAATTGTTCCAAATCGATCCCCAAATTGAAAACCCATTAATGTTATAAGAACCCTAGATACATACAATGAAAACAAAAAAACAGTGAAATTGAGGTGTCAAACTCGTGTATTGATAATGAGGAACATGAGCGACCCACCATGTCCTCAAACAGTAGGCAACTATCATGTTGATGAAGAAACACCATTGGTGGAAGTAGAAGAGGGACCACAAGCAGGTTATTTTTTTAACCTTTTCTGATGAAATTTATAATATCCATAGCAATGTTGTTTATATTAGTTATACCACCTTCTTTGAAGAGGCACCTCTTGCTTTATTGTATTCTTTTGGCACTTTCTTAACCTTTCCTGCTACATAAGCCTATCATCCATTATTCCACGTTCATTTACAAAAGTATTAAGGATTTGGGATTCATTTTCACTATACATTTTAAGGACCTGAGGAAACTCTCACCGTTTTCGCATGAAATTTTCTCAAGTTATATAATGTTTAGTGACAAGTTCATTTACATGTTTTTATTTGTAGATACTATAGTTGAAGAAGATGAAGTGGTACCTGAGGAATGCAAGTTGACTGACTCGAAAGATGATGTTAATGA